TTTTTTTGTTTTGACTTTCGTTTAAATTTAAATAATAATAATGATAATAATAAGAGAGGAAGAACCGCAACAGTAGCAGTAGCAGCCACCAATTCCAACATCGCAGTAACAACAAAATTTTTATTTTAAATATGTAAACCCTTTTAAAAAGAACAAAATTTTTTTTTTCGTCATTATTATTATTATTATTAAAAAGCAGAAGAAACGTAAATTATTAATTTTAATGCTTAATAATGGTAAAGAAACTGGAAGAGGATTAAGATTGGTTAAAAACTGTCTACGAAAATATTTCCGCGGGGAAAACGTAAAACTGCTTTTAATAAAATTTAAATTCGAATTTAATATCGACTCGGCGTGGAAAAGCAGAAGATATTTTGCAAAAGGTACCGATAACCCATGACTCCATTCCAGTATAAGAGAGAGTGGAAAAATCATCTGGAAAATCAAAAAGGTGTAAGCTATAATAAAAACTACATGCAGACGATATCGAAAAAAAAATTAAAAATTCCTGGATCGATAACGAGATTAGTTAATTTAAAATTTTCTGAAAAGTCTGATACTAACTAATGATAACGTTTATGGAAAATAGTAATAATAATAATAATAATAACGATGGGTATATAAAAATTTTATTTAAATTGAAATCTAAATGAACAATACGACGGAGTTTTTTTCAAACGGCGGAATTTAAAAAGAAAACGTTAAAACAGTTTATGATAAAACAGTATTAAAAATGATAAAACAGTTGAGGGGGAAAAAATTTTCACAAAAGAAAATCCCGTTGAAAAAGGAAAATCATCATGAGTAGGAATTTTACATAGCGACATCTTTTATATTTTATTAAACTTAAAATAATTTTGTGCCATCTATCGACTTTTTGGGAAATTAAAAATTTTCCGTTTTTTCTTTTCATCATAAGAACCTCCTGGCGTCAAAATGTTTTTTTTTATTGTGAATTTTTTTTTTTTTTGCGTTTCACGTACGTGCGTTTTTCCATCGTGCATACGTAAAAAAAAATTTTTTCGACGACAAACAACCCCCTTAAAATTAAAATTGCTGAATTAAAAACGTAAATAAAAATAAAACAAACCCTTTTACTAGTCGTTTATTATCAGGTGTCTTCCAATTAATAAATAAATAGGAGGTAATTTTTATTTACCTTATGAAAAAAGGTCGAAAAAAGTTTTTTTTTTTTTTTTCAAAATTCCTTCACGTTCAAATAAAATTTTTGACATTAGCACACAATCCTACAACACAACAACAACAACCGTTTGTTAACCTTCATTTAAAAATTAAAAATTTTTAATTATTATTATTATTATCAATCGAAAAATAACGGTCAAATAAAAAAAATAAAAAACCAATCACTCACAATAATCGATTAAACCGATCGTATCGATTATCGAATCGAATCAAATGTTTTTAATTAATTAAGATATTAAAAAGGATTCGATTTAAAAGATTTGTTTAATAATAATAATAATTTTTTGTTTGCACTTTCGATTACAAAAAAAAAAAAATTTTTTGAGTTTGATTTGTTTGATGTAAAAAAAAAAAAAAATTGAATTTCATCCTTTTTCGATTGACGACAAACAAAAGACAAACGAATGAGTACAAAATGTTTTTTTTTTTTATTGTTTGTATTAATAAAAGTATCGTTTGTTTTTTTTTTTTTTTTGTAAATGAAAAAACGGTTGTTTGATTAAATTAATTTTTTATGGATTCCAAAAAAAAATAAAAATGAAAGACAAAAAAAATTTTTTTTTCCTTTTTTTATTTGCATTCAATAAAATTTTTTTTAAAATTAATTTTTCGTCCCCTTTGTAAGTAATTTATCGTTACAATTTATTATTATCATTATCATTATTATTATTATTATTAACATTTTTCCAGTCGAATTTCGGATGTTACGAACTTTGAAAGCGTTTTTTTTTTTTTTTGATTCCAGGCTTAAAACTTGTTATTTTTACGAACGATCGAATTTTAATTTTTTTTTCTTAACCTATTTGACCTTTGACCTTAAAAATTTGTTTTTATTTATTAACCTTAAACGTATTTTAAGTTGTATCTATTAAAAAAAACTTCATCAAATGGTAAAAAAAAACATAAAAAATAATAAACACGGTAAGAAAATTTTTATGAGGTTATCCAGTGTATTCCAGAATTCATTCCAGATCTATTTCCGGTTCCTTAATTACAAATTCTTATGCATCAATTGTGGTATTTATAAAATTTTCCAAAAACTTTCCATACGATAGGAAAATATTCTTATAAATTGTGGCGTTCTGACTCCCGGAAAACCAAAATTATTTTCCAATTCCTTTCTTACCGCATCCCACATCAACCTTTGTGTTACGATTATATTCGGTTTTTTGGTTTACAAAAATTTTCTGTCTCTATGTGCGTTTGTGGGGAGGCCGCGAGAAGGGCGGGGGTATTTTTCAAACCTGCTCCCGTAACTGGAAATAATTTCTACCACTCTTTACCTAAATTTTTCAGCAAACGACAACAAAACAAAAAGCAAAAATGATAAAAGAAAAACAATTCTTTAAAATCAAATTTTCGTAACAAATAATAGGAAGTGACGTAATAATAATAATAATTAGAAATCTTATTTAAAACAACGAAGACGACGACGACGATCATTAGTAATATTAATAAAAAAGTAATAAAATTTCTTATGTAATATGTATAAAAGGTAATTAAATTGAAAAATTAAAACTTTTATCATGTCACACAATAATAATAATAATAGTAATAATAATAATAATAATTAATAATAATAATAATAATAATAATTATTATTATTATTATTATTATTATTATTATTATAAATAGAGTTAATTTAGTAAACGAAAATTACTGTCGGATAAAATTTTTTTTTTTATTAAATATAATATATATTTTAAGAAAAAGTTTTAACAAAAAGAAACAAATTGTTATTGTTGTTATTATTTTTAAAAAAAAGGGAAAGATAAATAAATACTTACGGTAAATTATTTTGCTGGAAGAAAAACAAAACGTACCTGATAACACACGCGGAAAAAAAATTATTTGTAAACTTTTAAGAACGTTGAAAAACTGATCACGTGATCCTTGAATAATTTTTATCACTTTTCCACTTATAAAAAAAAAAAAAATAAACAAAAAAAAAATTACTCGACGACAACAACAACTACTCAAGTCGTCGGAGTAATTTTTTTTTCCCCCCCCCCCGCCTCCCCACATCGAATTTAATTTTTTTTTAAGGTAAAAATAAATAAAGATGCCTTTTCTTTGTTCAGTAGGTCGTTAAAAAGAAAATTTTTTTTTTTACCGAACAATGAAATTCTGAACAAAAGGTGAAAAAAAAAGTGAAAAAAAAAGTGAAAAAAATTTAAACCCGTAAGCTAAACACGTAAAAAAAAGAAAATTTCGATTAATTT